GCTCCTGACATTTTGGAAAAAACTAACTATCAGCGAACATTTGAGATCAACCTATTTGGCTGTTGTCAATGATAAGTTCTTGTTTGTGGAGGCGCTGATGAAATATGGAATAGAATAATATGCACTGTCCCCTCAAACACATACATATTGGATTTCGAACAAATAGTCCCATCTCCAAAATGCAAAAACGAGTTCAATTTATCCTATAACGTGCAGTACTTGCTGCCGATTATATGCTGGTCATGGAGAGGCACTGTCATCTTCAAGCAAACGCTGCTTGTCGTTGACATGATCCCCCCTTCCTTTGTCTTTCAGTATTCACTCGAGTTGGAACACCGATTCAATTTAGATGAAACCAGGGTCATCGCCAGTGTCAATGCTAGACGAGCGACAGGGGACCTCCACGAAGCCTACCATGTGATTTTTAAAGTCCCGTCGAAATACATTAGGTCAGTTGGCCAATATCTGCTAACAACAGTAGAAGTGATTTCCATCGGGTAACGAAAATCGGTCTCGAGCGCCAAACAAAACGTCGCGCAACCATAGTATCTACCATGGCTAAAGGTCAGCCGAATATATGAACGTCTCCCCGCCCTCCCCCCGTTTGTGCCTGGTGCGGCTCAACCTAACTCTCGCTTCTGCTAAACTTACTGCGTCTTCTTGCCTCCCTTCCTCTTTCCGCACGCCAACTGTACGTAAAGGCTAACTTTAACCGATTGTCCTTATCACGCGCATGCGTAAGTTGTTCCTTGTTTCCACAGTCACGGCGATGACTTGTAGAAAGCACGCGTTTGCTCGCCATCTCGTCTTTTGAATCAAAATTGTTTGTCGTTCCTAGTCAGTGCTTTGTCAAACCCAGTCTGGTATCTCCATTGAGGAAGAATACTAGGTTACTGCCTGCCTGTTACTTCGCGACGGCCTCAATTCCGGGGCTCGAGGGTTAGCTGCAAGCATCCGTTAACGTCTTAGAGTATTTGGTAGGGATTGGTGAACACAATATCTACAGGGCACTGCACACAAGTTTTGGGAATTTGGAGAAGTTTTTGCGAACACCATTGTGCTTTACCGAGGTCTCAACCGTCACAGTGAACACATGTACCTTTTAAGTAGTGATAGTTCAGAGCGAGATTACCATAGGTGTCTTGGAAGATTCGCAATGCCAAAATGTCGCAGTAACTTGGCTATTGGTGAAATCGTGTACTTACGTGTTTTGCACTAATATACACCCACGGTGCCTGTTACAAGTGCCCACACGCTTCTCACAGGCAGTCGCGCATGGGCTCACTCGGCCAAATGCGCATCCATCAAAACTTGTGGTAAATCATCGCCGGACAAAGTTTAACTCCGTAATATCCCCACCAGACACGAATCCCTCCTTAATCACTCCCCGCAAGCACGCAATCGGAACTTCTCGTGCTAGTGAGAATCGTACTCCTTGACTCTCTTTCTAAATGTGGTCCCACAACTATTCTGACGCATGTGAAATCCGAATATTCCACCCAGTTTTATGAAATACGGTTGTTTTGTGTAAGGCGGTCAGGTCGTCTTCGTGGCACGCGCAGACGGCTCTCGTACTGTGGACCAGTGACTGGAGGAGGAAGTGGAGACAGAGAGGCGAGCTCTGGAGACTACACCCCTACGGCACTCAAACAAACGGACGGCCCTTTAAACTACCACGATACGTTAGAAGCCGTGGTCTGGAGGAAGGAGATTCAGGCAGAAATAATTACTTCTTAATAAGGCCTTTATATCACTCTCACATAGCTGGGGTCCGGCCTGCCCCTTCACATGTTTAGTGAAATCCTGATACGTTAAGTACACCAAATGGCTTGATGACACTCCTTGGCGAGAGGACCACGTCGCGCAAGACGCCTTTGTTCGATCCACCCTTGGGACATCCTGACTCTGTGTTGATAGCGGACCTAGATGAGTGTTGGAGGAGAAAGTGCGATAAGTACGGCGTAAGTCATTGCACTTTAAACTAATTCACTCCCAAGTCACCGACCCCATGCGAACCCCGCTGTGAGAATGTGGGTGAGATCGTCGGGGCCATGGTCAAATTGTCGTCTAGTGTTGGTTAGTGGACAGTCCATTTCACGGAGTGTTTCGTTTCTTTGTCGTTCTGAGCCCCGCTAATGCTCTGCCACTCTCGTCAGGTAAATGTCAACTACTTGGGACCAAAATGCGTAACTTTGAAGATGGGCAATCTGCCGAACCACATTATTCGCCATATCTGTACGACGGGTCTCCCAGACGTTCCTAGGGTCCCGCGTCCGGCACCTGCTAGGACTGCAGCAGTCAAGGTCGTGTCTGGGCAGATGTTGCAGCTTGTGATCGAAAGCAAGTCCAGAATACTAAAGGCTGGGATGACTATTCATTTGAACCCCTACGACTTAGTGTTCATACTCGGTGGAACTCATAACTGAGCTTATTTTCCAGGTTGTCCAACGGCCACCGTAAGCTTTCGCCGAAAAATCACCTCCACACAGGGGCAACAGATCCGAATAGGGCCATAAACCTCCGTGAGTAGGATGCATCCGGTCTGGAAGTCTAGGCCCCACTCCCCCTCTCCTGGCAACGACCACATCCTTGCTAACATCACCTGTTCTGATGTAAGCGAACAGGCGAGTTCCGGGAAGCAGTACAGAAGAAGAAGAAGATGCGATCACCGGAACAAGAAGTTTATTGGCCTGACGTTTCGGATTCTCACTCGAACCCATCATCAGAGACAGTTGCAGAATGCACAAGGACTGCAGTACTATAGTACGCAGCTGTCGTGGGGTCACATGCGTACTATAATTAACAGTTCTCGTGATCACCGCTGGGGGTCGTAATTAAGGCGATGATGGCTCGCCAGTCCGCGTCCGAGTCATTATTTGCCATAATTTCGCCATTCGTATTGGATGTTGACGTGATGATTACTCGGCAATTGAGCCCGCTGTCATAAGGCTAGTTGAGTGCTCGCGTCCTCTCAACGTGACTATACCGCTGCTCAGAGAATGTCTCAGCAATGAATATGGTATCGGGATTGCGCGCCTGAGAACCAAGATTCGAGCAGCTCGCGGTTCACGCGGTTGTCGGCTCTTGCGTGGATCTCGGCCTCCTGAAACTTGAAAATATGGCTTGGTTCCGTGGAATGAGCTGCTACCTGAGAGCCGGCGTCTTTCCTCCTCAGCGCTGCTGCGTGCGTAGCCATGCACCTGCGGCGTAATCGTCCAGTTTCGCCGACGTAGGTGTCCTTTTCGCAACTGCACCAGATCCAGTAAATGACTCCAGGCTTTTCCTGCCTTGACAGCGGGTCTTTCGGACTCATATCCTCATTCTTTGGGGGCTCTACAACTGTGGGTCACATAATTTTCCTCGCTTTGCAATATAAAGGCCAATTGTTTACAGATTTGTCGGACCAGCGCGCGCACATACACACGCAAAGATTTGGACTCGCTGTGTCTTAGCTGCCATCAGTATAAAGTTCAAAACCATAACAAGACCAAACCTGATGCCGTTGTCGACCCTGGCGGTAGGGCTAACCATGTCGATCTAAGGATTGCGGCTGAGATGCCGTGGGTCGACAGCGTGAAATTTTGTGAATCAGGAGTCAGGAGAAGACGGGGTCAGTAGGACAGTCTCTACTCTGGCCAACAAAGTGCAAACAGCCCAGAGACCGGCGGTGGCACAGGTTCCGTTTTTTGTTTTTGGCGCGCATGTTCGCGCGATCAAACCACGACCAGAATAATGATAGGTCACATCTTGTCGCAAAGCGGCACAGGCGGATTCAGCTTCGACTACGAGAGCAGACCGCAAGAGGACTGCCTCTGTCCAGTGTCTAATGCTGCCCCTTCGCCTGCCATCCGCTTCGCAGACGGGTTTCGGGGTTTCCCTCGTTGCAAAAACGGAGATAGCAGCAACCGTTAGAATTCGCTTCGGTCACGGAGGGACGTCGGCTGCCGTCAGGACCTAATCACCGTCCATATTTAAAGCAGCTTTGTGGACTCTTTCTTCAAGTTCCTGAATCGCGCACGAATCAACACTAAATCATTATAACTCGCTGCTGACAGATAGCACTGCAGCTGAAGATCGCCGGCAGCGATCAGGCCTAACGAACCGGTCACATCGCCTTGGGGTTCCTAATTATCATTTAAAGCCAGAATGACTAAAAGATAGGTGTGTGCGCAGCGACTTGCATAGTTAATGAACTGGTCCCTTGTAGTCAGGAATCAGCCTACTTTTATATCGCGAAGGAATACGATAAAATAGTTTTATTACAGCATGTCTTCGGAGGTATTAGTTTCCTTGAAACATAGGAGAAAAATGCCTTTAATCCATTTATCCATTTCGAATGTACTTTGCTTTAATTTGGTTTGGGTGGCTGCTTAGTCGGTGTCACGCGGGTTGGAAGTTTGTTGAAAAACCCGAATCCCAAAGGGCAATAATAGCAGGAATTATAAAAAATAATACATTACGAGTAGGAGGCAAATTGATCTGCGGGAGACAGCGTTAGATTACTCATCAAAGCGTACTAAAGCAAACATCGTATGCGTCACTTCCAAAGTACCTTTCGATTGACAAGATTGTTGAGTAGGGTTTTCTGCATCAAGTTCACCTTTAGTTGGCACTTTTGCCGCCGCAGAACCTACCGTCAAATCGAGCTATATCGTACGCTCGTCGCCAATGCACCGCTTCTGTACTATATGTCCGGCAGAACCTAATGTTTACTCAGTCAAAGTTCTGTGCCAAAGTAAATTAGTCCAATTGTTTATTCCCTCCATATATGTACGATTGCAAATCATGCACCAAGCTTCGTTCACAGCACATGACCAAGATCTCGTCAGCTGGCGTCCGCCCAGTCGCATGTAGACCTTCCCACCACACAGACTTACACAAACACGACGGTTTGACCGTCGTTCTCGACGAGCTTCAACGTATACTACACAGTAGGGCGAGAGCAGGGACGGTGATTTATGTGTAAATTTGTCAATAGTGTTAGTGAACTTCCGCAGCCTCTATCGCACTCTTTCCTCTTCCGCCTCTTCCGCCTCTTCCTTCTTCTTCTTCTTCTTCTTCTCCTCCTCCTCCTCCTCTACCTCCTCCTCCTCCTTCTCCTTCATACCACCTGGGCCCGGTGTCAAGGCAGAGTGAAGGATATGGGGGGCGCGAGAGGGCGCAGGTGGATTACATTTCGTGAACCAGCACCTAGGCGTACTACCACACCCTATGGTCTGTGCTGTAAACTGACGAGGATTTTAGGTAATATGCTGTCCATCTTTTCTCCCTATCTTTAGCCTTTAGTGAGGTTGAGTTAATCCTTGAATGACTGCATCGCAAGGGAGAGTAACTTCTAAAGCATACGTATTCTTCGCTTCTTCCATGTCACTTAAGTAGTCATTTTTTAGTGAGTGTAGTTTTTGCATGCAGTCGGAAGGAAGGTCTTTCGAAAGCCAGAATCCTAACGTAACTGCAGTGTTATAGGATTATGTTGCAGGCTGACTAGTTTTACAACCCCAGTTAATTGGTTTTTTGAATCGGAAACTGGTTCTCGAATTTTAGTTGACATTTCATAGGTTAGCCTACCTACTGTAGTCCTTAAATGACTGCATCGCAACAGAGAGCAACTTCTAAAGCGTACTGATACTTCGCCGGCACTTTAGGAATGCTGTTGAGATGTCTATCCACACAGTGATGAAACTCCTGCTGTAGCCTCACCCGGAACATGGTGTAGGACAATGAAGTTTTTCGAACGGCCACAAATATATTGTATCGTGATGATCGATTGTGCTTATTTTCTGACCCAATAGCTTGTCCATTGGAGCCCGAAGGTTTGTAAGTATCTGCTATGCCATAATCTGCGGACAATGGTCCTTGCAACGTGGTGTGGGCGGCAGTTCTCTGGCCCCTGGTCCTCTACCGGAAGCTGCCCTTGTGCTCCCGCTGGGTGTGCATGGTTCCCCAGGCATCCACGCCCTCTGTGTCGCTGCTGGTCAAAAGCCTTGTCAAGTGTTTGTTGTGAAGCAGGGGGTGCGGATTGGAACGCCAAGGTACGGGCTCGACCCCGCCAGCCACCTGCGTCCTCCGCCGTCTCTGGTCTTCTTGACTCTGAGGAGAATGAATTGCTCACCGGATCAGGGGACTTTTCTGGCTGACGTTTCGAAGAGCTGGGGCTGCTCTCCATTGTCAAAGCGTCAAGTGATAAAATCGATCAGCACTTTTTTGAATAGACTGCCGCATTAGCTGGCCTTGGGCCGATCGATTTTTTTCTTCTTTCGCTGCCTTGGCCTACTGGCCGTCGCCTGTTGGTGGCCTCCTGTATTATGTGTCGTCACCTCAATTGGGGTTGGTTGCGTTTGCGTTCCCCTTTTGGGTGAAGTGGTCGACAGGCCGTGTTTGCTCGGCATTCTTAGGCTCCCTATGATTGTCTTGTCTTCGTCACGGTGTATGTAGTGACGTAGGACTTTATAGGCTGAAGGAAGGTCTAGATGCCTGTTTATGGAGTTGGCATCTGAGTACCAAGCCTCAAGTGTGAGACGCTCAGTCCTTGAGGTGCCCCTGCCTAAGACGGCTGCTCCTTGAAAATCAAAACTGTGACCAGTTTACCCGATGTGAGCCGCAAGCTGTGAGTTTGGGTCTAGTCTCCGTGTTGCCAGTTTGCGCTCATGTAGGCGGGTCTGCAATTTCCGTCCGGTTTCCCCAACGTAGTTGCAGTCTCCATCCTTACAACGTATTTGATAGACAACTGCTGAGGTTTCAGTGTGTGGCAGTATGTCTTTGGGTTGCATCAAACGGCGACGAATTGTTGCCTGGGGTCGATGGGCAATACCTACCCTGGCGGGTTGTAGCAGTCTTTAAACCGCCTCGGAGACTCCTTTAATGTAAGGAATAGCCCTCCAGACTTTCGGTTGTTCTTCTTGTGCAAGTCGTCTGTTCACTCGGCGCTTGCTTTGCTTGATGAAGTGGCTTGGGTAGCACATGCGATTTTTTCACTTGACGCTTTGACAATGGGGAGCAGCCCCAGCTATTCGAAACGTCAGCCAGAAAAGTCCCCCGATCCGGTGAGCAATTCATTCTCCTCAGATTACCGACCCGGATCTCTTACTTTTACTAACCTGAACTTTTTGACTCTGTCTTAACAACGTGTCCAGGTGGGGAGTGGGGAAGGGAGGGTGAGGTAGATGTACGCAAGTCAGTGCCTCTGCTCCGCCTTGCTTTGGAGCACACGGTGGACATCGCCGGCAACAACGGTCGGAAAGTCCTGTGCGGTAGTTGCAATGGCTAGCTCGCAGTCCGGCAGGCGTTATTGGGATGGACACCTTTAACGTATGGCAACGCTATACTATAAAATAATTCACGCATAGGTCACCGTGCCTGCTTCACCTTGCTATGTAGCACATGGTAGACATCATCGAATGGGACGGCGGAACTATCATGGCTGAGTCAGGTCAACTCCGCGGCTCAGGGGCGTTGACTTTGGGAAATACTTTTGGATACGAAACAGGGATTCAATATTTTTGTGATCTCTGTGAATTGTGCTTTCAAGCTCATCATCCAGAACTATTCTGTGACCGCGAATATCGGAACTTAGGCTTCTGGATAGTTCCTATCTTGATTTTGTCCACTACAGAGGGCGAGGATACACTAATACAGTGGGCAGCGCAGTGAAAATAGCATTTGATGAGAGTACACAACGTCAGCACACTTTTCGATGTTCTATAAATGCTTAACTCCGATATTTCCACGAACAAATGTCTGCATCTCACAGTATTCCCTTTAAAAATACATTTTCGTAATTTGGAAATTTTGCCAGAATGCAATTTCTTCGTCTTTAATATTTCGGGATACTGCTTATACATTAATGCGTTTTCGCTTAAGATTACTCTATTTTGGGCATCAGACAGCAGTCTTAATCGATAAAACTTGATTTTTTGAATGATAAAGAGAAAAAAAGATACATTGAGGTTTTGCAAATACCTGAATTGCGAGTTTACTTTTATGGCTTTTTGTGACGTTCTCTGAGCGAGAGCTGGTCAAGCTGGTGTATTAAACACTTGCACAAGAGACTTCGGACCAATGAATGCGCGATGCTTAGAGCGTGTTTTACGTGTTACTTTTTACAAAATTACACGTGACGATAGAGTTTCAAAGTCTGGTTCTAACATATTCGATTAGTTTAATTGCTCATCAGCTGACAGAGCACTGATTAGTTTTCAGGAGTGTAGCTAAAAATTTATTGCTTATGGCAAACCGTTTTGTTTAGGTGTGCGCTGAAAGATGACTTAGCAAGACCACTGCAGGGAAACGTTTCGAGCGATTTAAAATCACCATATCTTCATGGCAGAATGCAAGGGAGTTCTCCCAAATCTACAGTTATTTTTTCAGGCCACTCTCCATTATAGGAAATTATAATTATACTGAAGTAGACGCAAACGACGCTAGTCCAAGACATAGTTTAGTAAAATCTGCTTCAGGATAAGGTAATACGATACTAACAGCACAGGCACTAGCCAAAAGCCCATACACGCGTGTTTCGTCAATATTCTGCAGCTGGATGGCACAGCTGCAAGGGGTTCGGCATTCCCTGTCTGTTTTATGGTAGATACTCAAAGTTGGGAATTCTTGCTTTTTAATTTCCTTAGAAACTAACTACGAACTCGGAGTCGATCAGTATATTTAAGGTCGGCCGTTAATGAATATTACGCGGTTATCCACTGCGGCTGTTGGACTTCGCCCAAATATTCATATATAACAACTTTGCTCTGAACCTATAGACCTTTTGTATACTGATCGACTCCACGTCCGCAGTTGATTTCTGAGGAAATTAAAAAGCAACGACTTCCAAATTGCAGTATCTACCAGAAAGCAGACAGAGAATGCTCGGAGACCTACTAACGAGCCGAACCTCGTGCAGCTGTGTTATCGAGCTGCGGAATCTCGACGAAACACGCGTTTATGGGCTTTCGGCTAATGCCTATGCTGTTAGTACGGAATCACCTTACCCCAAAGCATAGCCCTAGATGCCTGTCAGCATTTAATTAATAGTAAGAAAAGTAAGTTCCATATGAACGATCCGTGAGTGCCCCCTACCACTGTATATTCCCGATCGAAAACCGACAGAGCAACGGGCTCGTGGCCCGGTGGGTGGAGGCGTGGACTTCTAAACCAACAGGTCGCGAGTTCGAGGCTCTGGTCTTCCACAATTCGGGTTTGGGTATGGCTGGCTGACGACGGCTAATAAGCCAGAAATGGCCATTCCAGTCTCCCTTGTCTTTGTCGGCAATGCCATTCGGCCTATATATAATGCGCCGCTGTGCGGCTGCTGGTTGGGCTCGAGAGACAGCCCTTAAGGCACAACGGAACGAGTGAGTTCCGTATGAACGATCGGTGAGTGCCCCCTACCATTGAATAGGAAGCGGTTATCCGCTGTGGCTGACGGACTTCGTCCCAAATATTCATGCATGAAATTCTCGGTCTGAGCCTGATCTCCGTATACTAATCTGTCCCAAGTTGGCAATTAATTTCTAAACAAATTAAAAAGCGACAATACTTTGCTTCACGCTGTACAAAACCGTGCCCAGGTTGGCGAGCAGCTCTCAGGAGGACTGGTGTAAGGCAATAGCTGCACCTCCATTGACAGAGGAAATAGGGAATTTTGTTTCAAACCCAAAAAGATAAAATTAAACAATGCAGCCGCTGCCGTGTGGGATAACTGGAGAATGGCATTTTTCCTGCTCGCAACGGTCCTATTTTGGACATAAGGTGCGAAACGAAAGGCATAACAGGTTAAGAGGCGCTCTGACTGCTTTTAAGTTCCTATCTTCCTGAATGTGTTTGCGTGCAAAAAAAAATTATTACCCACACAACAGCTTATCAGATTTGTTGCCAAGGCCTACTTAGGCATGGCTTCTTCGACGCTCCCAAATAACGCAAACGATATCGTTTTTACACAGAATATCAAAATCTGTAAACCAATAACAAATACTCCAACTTTAATTCAAAATGAAGGTTACAGTACTGACAAGCATGAAACGTAAATAGAGTTGACTAAATTGCGGTCAAACTCTTGCCTAGTTTGAGAAAATGCCAGACATCGGCACCAACGACGGTTAGGGAGGCAAGCACTGAGATATGGACCACAGTCAGTGACCGATTTAATGAATTGATGGCAGAAATTCTGAAATGCGTTTTGAACCAGCCAGGATTACTTAGGTGGGGTCGTAACACTGATGGTCATGAGGCAAAATAACATGATATTTCAAAACGGCCAGGCCTTTGAATGCATTTCTTTTCGACCCCTTGTAAAAACCGTATTCGGTCAGAGCCAACTACTTATGTAGTACAAAGGTTTCTCATTAATTTTCGACAGCCTAATAAGTTCGAATGTATTTCACAAAAGACACGCAAAATGTAGCTTTCCTGCCCCTCAGTTGGTAGCAGATAACGTTTTCTTTAAATGTTATGCTCGAAGAAAGCGTACCTAGCAGTTTTTTTGAAAGTTCCTAATTATGAGATTTTTAAGAGATTTTAAGGCGTAAACTTATCTGTCCATTAAGTAAAGCACACGGTACTTTCTAAAGTCCTAGAGAAGTTAGTTATTTCCCTCATGCAGAAAGTATTCGCCTTGTAGACCATAAACGCTAAACGCAAATGCAACTGCAGATTGAACCTTAAAAGTGTTCGGGGATTGTAAAACTTTTAAGCCGGAAGGTACTGTTTCTCCGAACATAGAACTTGAAGAAATTTTAACTTACTATCAAATTTGTAGAAGAAAAAATATGTTTTTGCATGTTCTCTAGGAAACGTATTTGAATTCAAAACGGTATCAAAAATCAATGATGAAGCTTTCTACCACTTAGACAGTTTGTTTTTGTCAAGAACAATTTTTATGCATTCAAAAGCCAACATCCTGGCGAGTCCGAAATTATATGGGATTATGTTGCAAGTTAACCTATATAACAACCCCACCTAAGTAATCCTGCCTAGTCGGAAACGCATTATAGAACTTCGACCAGCATTTCATAATACCGGTCACTGACTGTATATGCATTTTTTGGTACCATTGTGCACATGCGTAATTCATAAAATTTGCTTTTTTTTCAAACATGCCCTACTTAAAGACATTTTAGGGCAGGGCACGTTTCGGTTTCGAAGGGTTTGTGAGACAGAGGATGGTTTTTCTTG